CAGGTCAGTAGATAAGAAATTCAGTTTCTAATGGTGTATCTAGTATTTTGTTCTGTTGGCTGATTTTTCCCATTAAAATCTCCAAGCCACTACTACTATTTTTTCTAAGTCCTCACAGGGCCAGTTTGCTGATCAACTGAAGAAGTTTGGAATGGAAATCACATCACTTCTTCTTTTATTTCTTTTTCTTTCTTTTCCTTGTGTGTCGTCCCCGTCCGCCCCCCCACTTTTTGAACCTATACATATACAAGAAAAACTTGGTACCAAAAGGTTTCAAACATTCTCTGGCCACTCAATCTTTCAACTGTCTTCATATTCTATTTCCAGCCAAAAAGAGTGGCATTGGATGGATTGCAGATTTATTCACTTTTAATCATTCTCAAAACAAACTTGTGCCAGTGACAACCAAGAGATGATATTAATAAATCCAGTGGGATCTTTTCTGTTCTTTACCCAGATATCAATGAAGAGTCCTTCTCAGAAGCGAGATGACACGTTTACCGAGAAGGCATGAGACAGTATCAATCCTACTTGCTCACACTGAGCTCTACTGCCTTCACAATGCTGTTAGAAGTATAAAAAGTATTTATACAACAGTAGCACCCAAAGGAGTACTACTAAATTGAAGATAGCATAGATGCACAAAGAAAATTTATTCCAATTTTGCTACCATTTAGACTCACAAGATGAAAAAAAGGAGGGAGAGAGAAGAGAGTGACATGTATTCATATGACTGCAGCACCATGGCACCCCAGAGTGCTATGTGCTGTGCAAATAAAGAACAAAAAGCTAGTTCCTGGCCTGAAGAACATAAAAACAAAATATATAAGTGAGTCCTGGAAACAGTGAACGAATGTGGATGTGCATGACAGGTGCTTAGGGCTGAGTGAGCTCCTAAACGTTGGCTAGTTGCTTTGTGGACATAGTGGGGAATTGTAGGAGGGGATTCAAACATGAATAATGAGTAGTTTTATGGATGGTTATAGGCAGTGCCTTCCAAGCCTGAAAGATAATATGGGTGAAATCACAAAGATACTTGTTTGCAAATGCAGACAAACATTACAAAGGTAAACCACATTTGAATATGAAAGAGAGCTAGGGAAGATGGTATAGGGTTGGGATCTGAAGTGGTTTGAAACTGAAGGTAGACAGGGTATATCTGGGGATGAGCTTAAGAAAAATGCAGTGGGATTCAGGACAAGGAAAATGTATTTGAAGGGTAGGAGGATACATTTTTTTTTCACTGACTAGCTAACCAAGTGTCTCTCGATTTAATCATTATTGCTGGGTACTTCAAATAACTACTCTAAGCAGGACACAGCTCCTAGCAGAAAGGGCAGATCTGATTTCAGTGCTCTTTGCACCGCCATTCACTGGTTCTTGGACATCCCCCCAAAACTGGCTTAGAAGCAAAAGGACATAACAGGGAAAACAGTAGCAGAGAGCATGTGCCTACCCAGCATGCACAAAGGCTTCCTGGCAAATTTGAGTCTCCCCCTCCATCCTTTGTAGCGACAGCAACACCCAGCAGCCCAGATTCTTAAGGCAAACTCTGCTCCAAAGATGAAAATGGCAAAAGTTTCCTGTATCAAAGACACAAACTACATTGTTAGGCTCATAACAAGTTTTGCAGTAATTCTGGACACAAAGGTATAGCTGAAGGAAACATAAGGTGCAGGTGCTGGGGTATGTGTGTGAAAGAGAAAAAGAGGAAAAACGTGGGGAGGAGAATATAGGTTGACAAAAGAGGCAAGGCAAAGTGGGACATAGCTTTACAGCCTGCTAAGTACTTTGCAGAAAGGATGTGCCCCTGCTGTTGGGTAAATGTGAAGTGCTTACCCTGCCTTAATGGAAGGGTAATTATTTCATCAAAAGACCTGTTTCACACAAAATGAGAATAGGTATGTGAGTGGTGAGTGGTGACTGTAAAGTCCCCAGTGCGCTGTATACCCACACCCAGGGTTACCCACCAGCAGCTCATACATGCAGCTATATCTATAAAGACAGACAGGATATAGTATATTCATATGATCATAAATATAAGGCATATGATAGGCATACATAAGACAAATTTAAGGCAAATATTATTCCCTTAAATTTCTGGTGCACGGAAGAATGGGATTTTCCACCTTGCTCAAGAACTCTTCTAAGCAGGGGGAGGAATGGAGAGAAGAGAGTTTCTCTGAGGTGCTCAGCAGAGATGGGCCAAGGGCAGCATGGGGCATGGAGTTACTTTTCCTCTCTGTGAATAGCTGGCAAAGAGGAAAGGGGGATTTTTCCTGATGCTTATACCCACAGCTGCTAGGCACTTCTGAAAACTGCTGAGAGCCACAGAAAAGTAAGCACAGGAGAAGGAAAAATAACCTCAGGTTTCTTCAAATTTGAAAAGATGGGTCTAAGCAGGGTAACAGAGACCAAAAGCGAGTTTCACATTCCCTAGGGGATGAGGGTGTTTTCATACAGGCACTTTTTGAGAAGGAACATGCAAGGGGAATTCACCTTTCATTCCTTTTGGCATTTAGTTCTTGCTCGGATCTACATGTCTCTGGGGGTACAAGGGGAAATGGAAATTGAGATCCTGGAACTACCCTTGCTGTGCAGTTTCCCTAGGGATTCTTTTCTACAAGGCCAGGTTAAGAGAGACGTTGCGCTTTATTTCATGATAGCTATGGGAGCAGAGGAAGTTCTTTCTCAGGGTCATTTTCATAAAATGATGAATACATCTTGTTTATATTTAGTGAGGGTTTTTTTCCTATTTTTTTCTTCTGCCAAACGGGAGGCCTACAGGGATACAGTCTTGAGCATGAACTCCAACATTTATAAAACAAGCATGCTGAAAACACAGAGAAAGGAATATATTTGCTGCAAATACATTTTCTCTCATGGACAGTCATTGGAGGCACTGCCTGCAACAATTTCAGTATATACTGCTATCGGGCACAAGCATGAGTCCAGTTCTGATGAACTCCCCTGGAAGAAATGCTGGGATTGATAGAATATTACAGAAAGAATCAAAATTGTTGAAAGATCCCAAAAAATGAATTTTCAAACGTGCTCAGGTCTGGCATGGTCAATAGGAAATTTATTGATACTTCGATGGGAGAACTGTTAGGCAAATGCTGAAAAGCCATTATATAAAAGTCTCAGGGCAGTATTTTTCCTCTCTCCTTACTTCCTTTTTACTCAGTCAGTGTTGACAATGGCCCAGGAACTCTCCAATATGTGTACAGTCACTGTTCCAGGACCAATAGAAGAAATCTTATTGCATGCAGAGCTGGGAGTAAGTTTCCATCACTGCTGATGGGGTTGATTTCAATTCAAGGACATTACCAGGATGATGCAGCAGCCACAGTTTACTCACCAGTAAGAGGAGCCAGTCTCCCGAAACAGTTTCATACTCCTTGAAAGTTGTCAAGACAGCTAAGATCAAACATCCCAAGACAATCAGAAACCTGGAATGAAACCAAAGGAAAAATCACAGTATTATTACCCCTCTCTGTATTTGCATTGGAGATATTGCCTGTAAAATCCTGGGTAGAGACCATCCGGGGATGGCTACTTCCTGTTGGTGAGCAATGAGGTGGGCACCCATGAAGATCCAGGGTTCTCAAGCTGGACATCGGGGGCCTGGCAGTCAAGAAACTATGGCAAGATCCTACATAGAATGGTCCTGGGCAGACATGCATTAATTAACTCATTTGCATTCTTCAGGAAGGAAATGGGTGATACTGTATACGGGAAGGGATTGTATGGTATGGCAGAGGACTGTAATGCTCAGGAGGTCTATTCCAAGCCGATGTGCTGTGTGCTTCACAAAATGGCACTTCAGTTACAGTGGAATCAATTTACTTAGTACATCTTGAGACGAGAAATAGTAAACGCTTCACTACAATGCAGCACCAGGACAAACCCTCCCTTGAAAATTGCACTGCATTTCTTTTTTCCTTCTCTTTTTGCACTCATTTCTATGCAGATGAAAAGATGAAAAGGTTTGAAAGAGAAACAATAGAGAGGTTAAAGTTCTGCTCTCCGGCAAATGCAGTGCATGATAAATCACTGCCCCTGTGACCTTGTCTGTCTGTGAGGCTCCAGAACACAGAGATTTGACTGAAAATTTAACTCCCACTGCTGGTAAATCCAATTCAGCCCAAACTAAAGTCACGTTGATCTGCTTTGTAAAACTATTCCCAGGTTCAAGCTATTAAAAATCTTTTATACATAAAGAGGTAAGAAAAATCAAGGGAGTCTCATAAGTGATTACTGTGAAGCAAAGTGAGGGAAGCTCATATTCTGGTACTGCATGTACCCAGATCACGGGCATTTTTATGTGTTCCCAAAACCTGATCCACAGGAACAGAGGGGCAGGTGGCCATGGAAATATTTTAGAGCTTAGTGAATAATTTGGAAGGATGTCTCCTTAAAAGCTCTGGATCCCTTGCTTTCATAGCTAGGGCACATCAAAGAAATTATAGGCATTAGGTACTGAAATCATCCAGGGAAAAAAGCCTGTTAAGAATCAAACTGTGTTTAGTGTGTACTACCTGTTTTGAATTTTAATCTGCTACCTAAAGTATGACTTCATTTCTTGCTAAATAAAACTCCACTTTGTTTCACTGGTTGAAATGAGCAGAGTCCACAGCCGGCAGTGTGGAGGCAGTGAGCAAGGACTCAGCTCAGCTCAGAGACACGTGTCCTCTAACCCGTCTCAGGTTTTTGTTTCCTTCATGTATGAGGAAACCTAGGGCTAAGGGAGCATGTTTTGAGAATCTGGAACATTTTTGCAGTTGGAGTAAAAGTAGAGAGGTGAGCTCCAGATAGCTCCTGCTGCCTTTTGGGGGGGAATTTCCTCCAAAGAGCATCAACTAGCACCCCCCATGCAAAGAAGAGGAAACAGTGAAACACATCACACCAAACCCTGAAGGATTATTTTGCTGTGGCTTTCCTGACATTAGCTGTTCAGACTGAAGTTTCTTATGCCAGGAAAATTTCAGATCAGCCATTTCAAGCAAGATTAGAACAGAAATAAATGTGATCGCTCATGCTAAATAATTCTGGATTTCTTTGACAAGTTTCATCTGTTCCCACTCACCAGGCATCCTGTAAAGCATGGGTTATGCGGTTGGCAGGAAACAACCTTTGGGTCCAGCGCGTGTCTTTTGCGATCTACCTATAACCACACTTCTGCTGCCCACGACATTCAGCAGTTAACAATTCTATGATGTTCCTGCCATGCCCTCAAGTTTGTTTTGTCACATCATACCTTGTTGCTCCCACCTTGCAATTATGAAGCCACTGGCTTCCCAAGACCCACGATCCACCTGCCCTGCAGCTCCATGAGCAAACTGGTGAGAACTCAACCAAGGCAACATGATTCCTTTGATTAGCTATGAACCACCTATGACCTGCCACATTACAGCCATTATGGTGGTACCACCACTAAGTCTCCATTTAAAGCCTTGATGCTTTTCATTACAGCCATTTCTTTATACCATGTGAAAATTCGGTCACTCATCAGCTCACAAGTATCATTTAAATGATTTAATGAAAGGTGAAACACACTGAAAACAGTCCAAGGAAATTACATCATCAGCTACTTAAACTAAAGGTATGAATTTACGATACCATTCAACAGAACAGCACTGTTAATTAAAGATGACACACAGATTTTTGTTCAAGAGGAAGACAGAAGGTAAGTTAGTAGTGAAATCGTCATCTTTTGCCCAAAAATGCCTGCGGTTTTACCACTAGAGGGTATCAGTGCTCCGTAGAGCGAGGGGATACTGCTCGCTCCTGTCTTCCTTCCCCATGACACAAACTCAGTACAGGTGATGTTCAGATGATCGCACCCATATATTTGATATGCAAGAAGAGGAGTCTCATAGCGATGAAAAGGCTTTGTCTTGATCAGTAAAAAGCCCAAATGTTGGCATTAACGGACAAAGGGTGCTGCTTGCTTGATCACTCTGGGTGGCACAGCACATGCTGCAAGTCCCACCGCTCCAAGTTGAGAGCCCACTCATGAAAACAACCGATCATGTAGGACAAAAAAAAAAAAGTAAAAATAGGTTAAGAGGGTGAGACTGGAGATCACAAGTCACTGTGAATAGTTTTGAGGGCAAATCCGAGCAGGGAATGTGGTCTGAACCCCCGGTTGCAGGAAGTGCATGAATGCAGCCCAGAAAAGTGCCTCGGAGGTGCAACCACTGGGCAGGAACTGCAGTCCCAAAAAACACACAGCCCACAGAGCCAGGTCTCTGCTCCTCCCTGCAGTATTGTGGGGTGTGTAGGGATGAAAAGCCTGTGTTGAGACACATAAATGCAATTCATCTTGGAAGGGTCAGCTATCATCCTACTACACTGTTTCCAAAGCATAAACACCCACTGCAAGTTAATCAAATCACATCTCAGCAATTCTCCCTCAGCATCTCAAATAACGACCGTGGTTCAGAGCATTTCATGAATTTTAATTTCCATTGATGCTATGCAACCCACCAATTTCCCTGCAGCCTCTTCTGTTTTGGATCTTGGTGTTTATGAAGCCTACAAATCTTCTTGTGTCCTCTTTCTATGGAAGATGCTACACAGTTGTCATGTTTTTTTCATCAAACCCCCTTGCTTAGCAAAGATGATAACAAAGTACATCTTCACCTTGCTGCTTGTGCCCCTATTGTGGTCTTGCAAACATAAAGATTCTAACTTGCTTGACAGTTGCTGAGTCTATGTTGTCCTATGGCAATAGGACAATAGCTGAGACTATATTGTCTAATTTAATCTTTTAGAGGCAGCAATGTGGGTCCAGTAGTTGAGCCTGGCTGTGAAACCGTAACAGGCAAATCATAGGAAAAGAAACTGCTGAAATCACAGGGGATGAGCAAAGGAGAGACTAACACTGACACGAGGAATCAAGGGACAGAAAGGGAGAAAGTCTGAAATTTATGCATAGTTATAACAATACTATCCATGGAACACAGAGCACCAAGGGTTAGAGGAAAGAAATGGGGTAAAAGTCAAGGTTTAGTAATGAAAATTGGGTCCTATTAAGCCTAAGCTTCCTATTGAATAGTGTTTCAGCAGCTGGTAGTCCAGACTTCAAGACTGTAAATTAAATATGCCAAAGGAGGATCTGAATTTTCTTCTTCAGTTTTTAGAATCATCTTTGCTATCATTTTATATAATTTTTCATAGCCCATTACAGTGTACCTGTTTGCAGTACTATGCCTAAAATCCTGATTATTTTGTTGTATGTAGAAGTTCCAGACCACCAAATGGCAGTACTCTTTTGTCACTGTCACAACTAATATGCTACTCTAGTAAATACATGTTCTTGTTGTTGGAAATCACATGTTTAACACTCATATTTTCTAATCATATTATTTTGGTGTATTAAAAACAGTATTCCAAAAGCAATACATGTTTTTTTTCCAGGAAAGAAGTAATTTATGACTATGCTGGACCATGAATCTAATGTTTCTTGGGTGGACATCACAGACTGTTTGATAAATTTTGATTTCTTTTAATATTTTACATTCTTTGAGTTTTTCTTCTATATCTACTTTCATTTGAAGCCAATATAATGCAGATCTAGCTGAGAACTTCTATTTTTTTTTCCATATATAGGTGCTCCTTATGTATCCTGTTCACCACCTCTTTCTTCAAAATTTTAGGAGTAGATCACATAGTAATTTGCCTATGATCTATTCCAAAACATAGCAGTCCTTTTGAAGCTGTTATGAGGACTAGATACGTCATAGGCAGGCCAAACAATATTTTCATCTGGCATCATTTTGGCGAATTTTTGTGCTGTGTGACCAAATGTTAAGTCTCAATTAAGCTTACATTTGACAGAAAGGAACATGTGCTTCTAGTGTATAACTCATGTTGTTTTAAAGTAGACAACTCAAGTGGGCCAGAAGCACCCACAGAGACAATTTCTTCTCTATAACTTTAAGGAAAAACCCTAGTGACTAGCTCCTATGGGGATGTTTACTGTGTAAATTAGCTGAATGCCATCTCTTATGTGTAGCCCTGTTTTGGATATAATTACAAACACTGCCTTTTAATAATGTTTATATATTTTTACTACTGAAAGAATTAGCCTACCAGCCATACCAGCCCACTTCTTACATGATCAGTTTTCTCTGAAATCGTTTGCTGTAAATTTAGGTATCATCACATCTACACGTGGTCGAGGATCCTGCTTGCAAAATAATAATGCAGGTTCTCGGCAGGAAAGCCTCTTGAACAGTTACTAGTAAAAAATCCCTTCCAGTGTGACAGTGCATAGACTTCTGTTTGCTCTCAAATCTTCAATATAATTTCTTGCAAGCCATTGGAATTTCCTCTGTCTCCAAATGTTCTTATGAATCTTAGATTTTTCTGCTTTGCTTCATTTGGTCCTTTCCTGTTTTCCCTTAAAACTTGTGCTCTAGTTTCATTATGTTCTGCCACCTGGTAAATGCTAATGGAATTCTCTAAGATTAGATTAGGGAAATCTGGCAGTGTTTTGCTAAATTTTTGGTTTAGGGTTTCCAGTGCAATATGTTTCTAAAACCATGATTCCCACACATTTTCCCAAATTTCATATTGGAACAACCTTATTTTCTTCAACTATCAGCTTTTACCCATAAGGATTAAAAAGGCATCTTTTCTCACATTTCTTTCAGTTGCTCTATATTCCTACACACCATCTTCTTCTCTGCATCCAAACTTTCTTTTTCACAGAACATCTGCAGTATCTTGCACTGATCGTTTTACTGCTGCTAATGAGAGGCTTCAGTTGGGATTTTTAACACAAAAAAAATTACATTACCAAATATTTGAGAACAGCTCTTCAGAGAGAAGGGAACGCATGCCTGATTTTCACAGACTTGGGAATATTCACTGTTTAATATTCAGATTCTTCCATCTCTGCTCTTTGAAGCAATAGGCCAGCTACTCTTACAGAGATCAGTACTGAGATAAGGGTGACAGAAAAAATCCAAAACAAATATGCACCATGCAGAGGGGTGCAGGGAAGGTCACTGAGAAACTCAGTGGAGGTCCTACAGAAGGAGGAGGGAAAAAGCAGCAAGTGCTGCAGGTAGGGATGTTCAAAGGTTCCTCTTTCTCTGCATCCACAGATTTCACTGAGTACACACACACAGGTCCATGCAAGAGCCCTTGGCCCAATGCCATCATACAGCAAGGACAGGGAAGAAATGCCATACTCGGTCAGCTGAACTGCACTCTTGCTCTGCTGCAATAGCAGAGACAGGGCAAGATCCTCCACAAGATGCTGGAAGAACCCTAGGAAGTATGGAAAGATCCCAAAAGATCCCTAGTCTCACTGGCATACCAACTGACCTGGCGGGTGATGAAGTGGTTGCCCAGAATGACACTAGTCCATTGGTGACAGAAGTGAGAGACATGGTCCCTCTCACAGTAGGAAGCTGAGCCAGAAAAGCCTAAGTGCTTACTCATGCCAGGTTTTTGATGATCTTGGGTTCTCATTGGCAGGACTACCTCAGAACAGGCTTCACTGCTGTTTCCCTAAGTTTGGAAAGCTTTTAAAAAGCAAGATTTGGGAGAGCGAAGCTGTGCTTCACAGCAGGGCACTTACGGTGCAAAAGAACAACTTTTAAATCAGACGGTTCCTCTCTCCTGTCCTCCACATACAAGCCAAGGCCTCCTCCTCTTGTTGCTTTTTCTTCAGGTCCACTCCTAAAGACTTCTCGCTTCAGTGCCCTGTGTACCACCATTGCCAGCTTCCTTAGGGAATCTGGCATGCCAGTACAAAATATTTTGGGTGAGCAATGTCAGACAGTATGAACACCATCAACCTGGAGTTTCTGCTCTACGAGACATTTTAGAATGACCTGACTCATTTCCTAGGTTTGCTGGCATGAGAGTGCAAAATAGCCCTACAGAGTGCCCTAAAGAGCACTACATTTCCCTGCCTGATTTTTCTCAGCTTGGAAGACAAGAGTCATCCACCAAGATCCCATTTCTGTCTTGTCTCTGAGACAAGTTTTAAAGATGCTCTGAAAGACCTAGCATATATAGGTTACAAGAAGAGGCCTAGACATCTTATCACACGGGCGACGGAGGAACAGATTGCAGAAGCGAAGGAGAGGGAATGACAGCATTAGCTACAAGGAGTTAGATGTCTCCTATTCTCTTGTGGCTTGAATACGGACGGAAAAGATTCTGACTGTTGCAACTAAATACTCTGAGTTGCTCTGTTAGTGGCTTTAAATTCTATTTTTATATTAAGTGAATGACATTGGACTGAACTATTGTTTGGGGCTTTTATCTACCATGACTAGTATGCCTGTCCATGGGCTTATCTCTGGCTGGCAGTGTGCTGTTAATTGAGTTGGGACACATAGACTATGAAACACAGTGGGCCATGTAGCACAGCAACGCAAGAACAGCACAGAGCCAAACCGCATTACCCAGCAGCCCCAGCTGCAATAACCGCAAATCAAATGAGTTTCAGAAATGCTTTTAACAGGACATTCTCCAAAGGACATTAAGAAATTTGTGTGAAGCCATTGGAAAGTAAACTTTAAGATCCATACATTGGTTTCTGCTAAATTTTGTGAAATAAAAGTGGAGGACATTTGAAAGTCAGCCTGTAATTCAGCAGTCAAGTGCCTAGCCTTCAGCAAACACCGTAAAGAAGTGAATTTAGGGTCTATAAAGAGCCTAAGGTAAGAGTATTAATCATCCACGTCAATGCTTAAACATCCTGAGTAGGAATTTCCAGGAAGGTACCTCTCTAAACATCACCAACACTGTTGTGTCCAGAGAGACAAAAAAGATCAAGGAGTCCTTTTCCAAACATGACAAAATATACCCAAGAATTAGGATCTCTCATACAGACATGCACTGATCTCCCCACAAACTCTTCCCATTTCCTTAGAAAGGAGGAAAGAGTTATGTCCTCTGAATGAATTTTTAGGGAGCTCCAAAGAACACAAATGGGACAAACTTCTGAATCCACTGTCATGCTTTTTTCCTTGACCAAACACAGTTGTGATTATTTTCTACCTTTCCATTTGAAATCAGTGAAGATCAAAAGACTGTAGCAGAAAAAAAAAAAAAAACAACAGGCAATTAAAAAAACGCAGTCAAGCAACCTACGCACCTGACCAAATTCCCTTTTCTCACAGGAACTCACAGCAAATATATTAGGTCCTCCAAAGGTGATGTAGTTGAAAGAGAATTTCGAATATCAGGAAGACAGTAGTGTCCAGAAATAGCCTCTGTAGTTTCTAATGCAAGGTTTCTAGGTAGGGAAGTGATAACATTAACTCGGTGGCCAGATAAATTCTTACACTGATCTGAAAAGAGAATCTTTACTATTTACCCAAGACTTTAACTCATTTGGGAGTTTTGATAGCTTTTTTTTTTTTTTTTCTATTTTTGACCCTACATTGCAAAAGAACATAGTTTTTAAACAATGCCGATACTTCCAACCTAATCTAGCACTTTCAGACAGTTGGGATTGCCAAGTGAAAAAACAATTTCCAATTTGGACTGTATCTTCTTTGCCTGTGCTATTTCAAACTCCATCACAACCTCACCTTTATGTGTGAACATGAGCACTGTAGGCAATGATCTCATTTTTCACATAGAGGGGGATATTCAGAAGAAAAGTTGCATGGTGCCATTCCCAATGGACTTTTTTGCATGGTCAAAGATTTGCAACTGTGTAAGGAAGAGGTGCGTGGCTGTACAAGATCTGCACCCCACAACAACACTGCCAGTACACTCCATATTCAGGTAACAGTGTAGTGTGTTTTCCACTATGGGCAATGAAGGGTGTTCTGATAATGCAGCTCCTGTGGAACAAGACACATGGCTCAATTCTCTCAGATTGAGTGAGATTTCTGGATTACAGGAGATAAATATTACCACTTGAAGAGTCCCTTCGTGAATTTTCTGGCATTAACTCCACAGAGAGCTCTATCATTTTGCACCTGAGGTGGTCACAGATTTGACTGTGCCATAGGGCACTTGACTCAGGACTTTTCCAGCTAAGAACATGATGTATTACAGCTAGAACGGAAGAGAGATCTTTTCCACATAGTGTTTAATCACTGCCTGCACATGAGAAAATCAGACAAAGGTCTCAAAACTTTGCTTTGAACTATCAGTTGTTTTAATCCAGAAGGATTTTTTGAACTTTCTGTAATTTTTATGTCAGTGAAGAGTACAGAGTCATCACTGCATCTTAAGTCTATGTGATACACATCAGTTTTCCTTAACAAACTGGTCTGTAGCCTATGACCCATTCACAAATCCAGCAGTGCTGCAAAACAAGCTCACATCAATCAGTCTGGAAAGGATTTCTTCCTGTGCAGAATGCAAAGCAGGTGAGCTACTTTCCCTTTTTTCACAGGGAGAGAAGAAGAGGAGAAAGGATCTGTGCTAAAAGATGCAAGGGCTAAACTCATGTTACAGCAGTTGTGGATCAAATGAACAGTGGCGGTGTGGAGGAATGCTTTTTCTTGGGATACACAAATTAACACAGACAAAACACTATGTTAACAGACAGACCAAACTTCCCTGCAAATTAAACTAGATTTTTAGTCCAGTTTGACTTGATACTGTTCTTATAAAACTTTTTCTTACATTAGACTCTTAATTTTTCCTTTGTGCTCCATAGACAAACAGTCTGTAGTTTGGCATTGATGACCAGTCAGTCATCAAGGATTCACAGCTCTGGCCTGTTGCCAGTACCCCATAAAATGGTATTAGCTAGAGGCCAGGGGAAGGCCACCGAGTGTTGAATGCAGAATATTCTTGAATATCTCTTTCTACAAAAGAACTGGGGATGTCTCAGAAGCTTTAGGTTATCTCAAATACCACACACAAATAGCCATTTGTAAACATAACAATATAGGGGTCTTATCTCAGTCAGAATCCCACCCAAAGGATGAGCCTTTATCAGATAATGATAGATATCGTGGTGCAACTTCACTCGCAGGCTGCTTCTGCACAGGGGTGCAGATGTCCCATAGGTTCTGTTACATATTTGCCAGCCCTATATGGATACTGAAGATCCCTCACGGTGTCTCATAATGCACTAGGTGCATGTGATTCAAGCCACAGTTCTTTGTCTTGTTGGAGGAGATGGCTCCATTATACCAACTGGGAGTATTACCAAAGTCCTGGCACTGAACACAGTGTCACGTGGATGAAAACGCTGCCACAAGTCTTATGTCCTTTAATACCTGCCTTTCAAAATATATTTGAGGGCTTCTCTTCTCTCATGGTTCTAGATGAACATTGGGAAGATTTTTTTAACAATTTATTGAGAAGAAATAAGAGGGACACAAAGTGGATTTCAACCCTAAAACATCAGATGCTACCTTGATGGTTTAACCAATGAGAAGATACGTGGTCTGGACAGAAATGTGAGGGGGATGATCAATTGATCAGAGGCAAATCCCTTTATAATAGTTGGTTTTCAATATCTCGTCTTCAAACTAATGAGAGTATGTCAATAACTTTAAAGTGACTCAGCAATAGTGCTTACAGAGGTTGTGTCATGAGGAATTTCATCATCTGCACCTCCCCAGGACAGAGCACTGAAGGGTCTGCAACTCTCAGTGGGCTGCAGAGCCATGGTGCTAATGCAGCTGCTAAGACCAACAGAGGAACAGCTGAAGCATACAGTACAGATAAGTTATATGTGCTCCTTTTTCACCTCCAGTTCACATTCATTAGTTAAATTATGAGTCACGTTAGCATGGCAAATGAAACGTCCTCCTTGAAGGTGAACTTTGGATAAGCTCTTTAGAGGTCATTGTATTGTCAGAACTCTGATTTACACAACTAAACAATAACAATAGCACATGGCATTTGTACCTATGTAAATTTAATGCTGTTTTAAAGTATTTCTGCCACTTTGCATTACCATAAGCAATTAATCAGCATTCAAAATTCAGAATGATCATCTGAAAGCATGTGATATTTCATTTGAAGTCTGAAGTTGAAGCCTTTGGAGGAGGTTATCAGCCTTTTCCAGACCTGCCCAATTTTATTCCTGAAGTACTTCACCAGCATCTGCAACAATGCTTCTCAACACAATGTAGGATGGCCCTTTTGCTCAGCTGACTCATTAATATCTCAGATCACATTATCCCCATTTAACCTGACAGTTTCAAACAAAGACAATTCTGTTAAACCTGCAGGAAAAAATGGCAATATGGAAAGGAATTTTTGTATTTGTTTTTCTTTGAAGGAAGAGCTCTATTTAGTCAAGTAAGTAATTTGAAACAGCACCAAATTCAGCATACGTAACTACATTTAGAAAAATAAACCCCAATTTACAGTAATGAGAAGTTCTGCATTCAGAATACAATCTAGCAAAGCATCTGTGCTAAGCAGCTCTGTTGGGACTCACATGTTGGTATCCTCAAAGAATATGAATCTTTGGTTCTGTCCTAAATGGAGTAGCTGGTTTTACTGACGGAAGGTTCTCTGTAACAGAGGAGTATTGGGCACAGTGGGATACAACCTTGACATAATTTTCCTATTCTTATTTGACATCCATGGAAACAGGAATTCCTATTCCTAATTCAAGCTTTGCCAACTTCTTCTGTTGTGGCATCAGTGCAGAGAGTGACTGGAATCTCAATATAATAATGAATCTGTAAGACTGCAGAAAATACCAGGTTTAGGGGGAGTTCAGGCCATAGGAATCTGTTTCCCAGTCTCCACTGAGCACCACAAATTTATATTAACATCATTGTAGTTTTTTTTTTCTCTGCAA